GAGACTGACCTGGAACTCACTATGTAGCCCAGGCTGGTCTCGAACTCACAGTGATCCTTCTGCCTCAGCCTCCCGAGTGCTGGGATTACAGGCGTGTGCCACCATGCCCGGCGCTGGGGTTTTTGTTTTGGTTTGGTTTGGGTTGGGAGTTGGCAGACTCCTGCATCTACAGAAAATGGCCTCTCCTGTACCCGACTAATCCCTGTGAAGTACCCTGCCACCACTTCTTTCCTTGCTCCAAACCTGCTATGAGCCACTTTCACTGTCCTTTCTCCTGTTAGAATGTGTCAACATATAAAAAAGCAAAAGGCATACAACTTCCTCCTCTGCCCTCCTCAGCCACTTGTGCTAATCCCATTGGATTAGCAATCTGTTTACTCTTCCCTACATCTCAGGAGTGAACATATACGTTCTCTAGGGTACTTGCATCCACCCAGCTCAATCTGAGAGTGAGGGATACCTGACAAGGCAGACACCCAAAGGATAGACTTAGATATTTTTGTCATACCACTAAGAAAAGTCTAAATGAGTTTCACTTTTAAGAGGAGCTCCTGGGTAGCTCAAAGATATATCTAGAGGCAGAATTCAATTGACCTATACTCTAGCTTTCCCAATTAGGAAGACTAGGTCAGACATTTTGCAAAGCCTCACTATTTTTTCCTGATGTATCATGCTCAGGGAATGTACATGGGTAATGGAGTTGTGCTCCTGATAATATACAAAGAGCAAATGTACTGGCACTAGAGGAGGCACTGTGTAAGTTTCATCTGATCCTAAAACCTTCTTTTGTCCCCCAAAGTATATATGGAAATAAATTTCCATTACCTGTTGAGAAAGGCATGAAGTAGTCACTTTTCTTAAAGTTGCCATTCTCATCCAGAAAGTGGCCAGGATCAAATATCTCTGGATTGGGGAATTCTTGGTCATCGTACAGCACGGAAGTCAGAGATGTTATTAAATCTGTGCCCTGGAAATGACAGATGAAATGAGTTATTAAGATTTTGAGTGGATACAATGGAAATGATCTAGACCAACCTCTGATTTATAAATGAGGAAGTAGATATCCAAAGAAAAGTAGCACTTCCAGAGAGACAGACAGACCAAGTAATAGCAAAGACAAATTTAAAGCCAGGAGAAGTGACTATGCTGAGGTGCCCTCCATTAGCAGTTCAAACACTGAGTACTTTGGAATTTGGGTGCAAAATTTTCAGAATCTGCTCTATTACAAAGCTGGGAACTGGTGCCTATCTCACCTATTGCTGTATTTCATCACTTCAGGTTTTGTACATTTTATATGTGGATTATGGCTTAAAATGGAAACCGCTTGCCCTTGAAAAGTTAGGAATTTTTAGAATTCTTTCATTTTGGAAATTTTTAAAATGGAAGTTTGTTCTATTTACAGATGATTTGGAAGATGATATCAACAAGTACACCAACACATTGTTTGTCACTGGAATAAAATGTGTTTTTCTTAATTTAAAAAATGAGGGGATTTTTTATTACATATGGACCCTAAAACACAGCAAAGAGACTTAGAAAAGTCATTTCCCAATAGTACAGCTAAGGTCATCAACCATCAATGTTAAAATTTTGGGCAAATTGGGAAACAACATTTACAATATCTTAAAGGACCATCCATTTTAAAAATTAATTCCTTTTGAAAAGCAGAAACTTAACAATGGAGAGATCTGGAAGATAACTCCTTCGTGAGTGCTATGTTAAGCAACACGAATGATGAGACAAAGTGAAATTATGTGGCTCTAGGTACAATGTGATAAAGTGGGACATACATAACATCATTTAATGTTATGCCCAAAACACATAACTAGCATCTAAGCCCCTGGAAAACATTCACATAAAACCAGACTGAGGAACATTTTACATGTCAGGGGCTTCAACACTTCAAATACTTCAGTATATCAAAATGACACAAAGGAAAAGGAAATGTTCTTGATTTAAGAGAGCTAAAGGGACAAGAAAACCAGATTTGTTTCTTCATTACATTATTAGAAGTTCTCTAAAATTCTATAAACGTTTTAGGATAACTGGAAAAATGTAATTATATACTGTCATCTTATTGGATTTGTTTGTTTGTTTTTGGTACTGGGAATTGAAATCAGGACCTTCTGCCTTGCAAGGTAGGCAGCAGAACCACTAAACTAAACCCCCAACACCTGTCATATTATTTTATTGATAATTTCTTGAATATAACTGCAGTTAATGTTGTGTAGCAGAAGATCTTTTGTGGTTTTTTATACAATGAGGTAATACTCAGCCATAAAGAAGAATAAACTTGAGACATTCCTAAGTAAATGGATGCACCTTGAGACCATACTCAAGTGAAATAGATCAGATACACATGTGCGAATATAGCATTGTCTCTGTCTCTCTGATGTGAGAAAATGAAAGTGTACTTGAAGACCAAAATGTATAATATATATTGTGGAATGGGAAGAAAATGATCAAATGGGAAGAAGAATTAGGGAAGGGGCCAGGGGAAAGGAAGGAAGATAAAAGGATAAAATGGAAACAAAGCTTTTGTAAATGAGGAAGGAAATAGGGGTTGAAGGGAGGGGAGGACAGGTACAAATACCCTGTGATGAAGGCAATCATTATGTATATGTAAAATGAACCAATAAACTTAATTTTTAAAAAAGAAGGCTTTATTCTTGGAAGATATAAGCAGAAATATTTAGGTATGAAGTGTGATAGATTAGATATCTAGAAATTGTATATATATGCATTTTATATATGATATATGTATTTTCTGTGGATTCACACACTTTCTTTTAAAATATTTATATTTTCAATTCAAAGTTAGAAATTCTATGTCTCAGAGTTTTCAAAACTTAAGCATATAATTTTGTTGTAAAACAATGAACTTATTAGTTCTTTAAATTGTTACTTGGTATATTTTCAAACAAACAATAAAGAATCTCAGTTATAAAAGCAGATATATGTTTATCAAAAAGGGTGAGATGGTTGAATATCCATGAAGAAAAGAATGATAAACATTGCTTCACACCATAAGTTAAAATGAACTTTTAATAAAATGTAGTCCTATATGTAACAGGTAAAACTATAAGACATTTAGAAGAAGGCTTAAGAGTGAGTATTTGAGACTTTGTGCTGGAAAATAATATTTTATATAGGAAGAAACATAAGAAGGCACAAATTAAATCACTTGACAAGTTGGGTTCCATGCAAAATTAAAACTTCTCCTTGAAAGACATTTTAAGGAATCAAAAGTTATATAAAAAGAAAAAAGCTCAGCATAGAAGTAAAATTTTGTAAAACTTACCATAAAGAATTTTTATATGAAATTAAACAGCAACAATTAAAAATAAAAATTCAAGCACCCTGTGTCAGTTACTTTTCTCTTGTTGCTGAGACAAAATACCTGGCACCAAAAGTTAAAGGGGAAGGGATTTGTTTGGCTTACAGTTATTAGAAGTTTTAGTCCATAATTGGCTGGCTCCAAGGGAGGGATGACAAACAGGCCTAGCAGAGCAGAAACATCATGGCACTCACCAGGTAGCAAAGGTAACAAGAGAGTTTAACAGCATCTTTTGGCCCCTTTTATCTTACTCCCATTCTGGGATTTGTGCAGTGCCAAACTAATCATTCATGTATAGCAGTGTAGTAATCACATGCCCTTAAACCCAACATTGTAACACATTCCAGATTCAACTACCCTGAAGAAGAAAGTCCCACCTCCTCTGCATGAGGCTTTGTGCAGGGGGATATCTAAACACATACCATACCGCACCCCAATAAAAATGATTATATAATTTGAGCAGAGATAGTTTTAGAGAAGATAGATGAATGGACTATCAACACATGAGAAAAAGCAAAACATATGTATTCACCAACAAAATGGGAGTTGAAACAAATTGTGATCTCCTTACCCCAAAACAATAGTGTCGGAAATACGGAAAAACAATCAGTGAAAAAGTGTGGAGAACATCTGCAGCAACTGGGATTGTCATATATGGCTAATGGCAATGTAAAATGGCACAGCGATTGTAAAAAACTGTTTGGTGGTGTGACAAAAGGTTAACATTTAAAAGACATTCGTATCCCTAGGTATTATTCATAGAAATGAAAATTTGTCTCCATAAAGGAAATTATTCAAATGTTCATAGCACCTTTATTAAAATGGTAAAAAACTAAAAAGAACTCAAACACACATCAACTAGGGAACACATAAGCAATACATGGTTCTCCTTATTGTGGAATCCTACTCACAAATAAAAAGAAGCAAACTAAAGTAGAATAACAAGAATGAATTTCACACACATTCTGCCATGTAAAAAAGCCAGAGAAAAGGCTCATACTGACTATAAATTATTCCACTACTGTCATGTCTCATTATTTTCAACCTTCAGAGGGTAAAATTATAAGATTAAAAATAAAATCAATGGTTATCAGGGCTACAAGTAATAGAAAGGAATATGAAGGAAATTTGAAAAAGATGGAAATGTTTTATATATTGACTGTTTTGATGGTTGCATGAATGCATGGAGCCAAGAATGTAGCTCAGCAGCACAGCGCCTGCCTGGCAAGTGGGAGGCTCTGAGTTCGATTCCCAGTACAAAAAAAAATTTGTATATAGTAGCCAAAATCCATTAAACTCTATACTTGAAAGGGTATATTTCACTTTACATATTTTTTCCAATTAAAAAATGGAATATTACATTAATATATTAATCTATTGAAAAGTAAATCTTCCCATTTAACCACTCACAGGCTTTCTAGAAACAACTATTTCCATCAACCACTTTTATGTACTTCCACTGAATATGCACTTCCAGAGACATTCTGTGTATCAGGCAGGTAAATCTAAATATAGGGTTACCGCTTGTCACTTTGTAGATTTTTTTTTTACCCTCAAAGGAAAGTATCAACTACATCTTCATTATTGTATATATCACAATAATTTGGATATGGCCCCAGATCAACAAATATACATCAGACTTTCTTGTGCTATGTAAATTGAATATGTCATTACAGCACTGATGAATATTTAGATGGTTTTAAATTTTCTATTATGAGTAATAATGTTAAGGCAAAAACCTCTGGACACGCTTCTGCTAACTTACTCCCAAGCATAATATACACACCAAGAGTTGTCAGTCTTGCCCTATAGACTAGTATATATTTTATTTTGGTGGATATTATCAAATTTCACTTCAAAAAGATGTACTTATTCATATCATGGCAGCAATACATGGAAGTATTCATTTTTATGCATACTTCACTAATACATGTTTTTCAGCTTTCAACTTCATCAATATATTTTCCTATGAATGAATCTAATTTCTCAGTCTTATTCCATTTTATAGAAAAACCACATCTTCTTTATACTCCTAAGTGAAATAAATGAGTCACACATGTGTAAATACTGAATCATTTCTCTGGTGTGAAAAAATATAATAGTACATAAGATCTTAATAAGATAATTGACCATGTGAAATAGGAAGCTCCTTCTAGGTATTGTCCCCCAAAATTTAAAGACATAATATTATAGAGATACATGTGTAGATAGCAGCACAATTCATAATAGGTAAATCTTGGTGCCGATATGTCCACCAACAGATGAATGGATAAAGAAAATGTAGTATTTATACATCAGAGAGTATCACAATACCTAGAAGGAGAATAGCTGGGTCAAGTGGAATTTCCATTCATATATATATATCCATATATATATTCTTAGCTATATATACATACATAAGACAGAGGGGGGGGCTGGGGATTTAACTAAGTGGTGCTAGTTCCTTGTTTTCCAATCCATTATCCCTTTCCTCCCTTTCTCTTCCCTGCATTTCTTTCTTTTCTTCTTCTTTTTATTCAGTCTATTGGTACAATCTAGGTATACAATACAATTACATTCATCATTGGGATTCTGTACCTTTACATAATAGGTCTTGATTCTCATTTTTCCCCTTGTCCCTGCCCTCCCTT